TGAGGGCGTTGCGAAGTTGCGACATCTGAAGACCGTGCAGAGGTTCACTTATGACGTCATAGGTCAGTGACCTGACCTGATCCAAAAATGCGGTTGGTGTCATAAGATCCGGCTTGGATCAAAGGTCAGGTATGCCAAGTTTCAGCTCTCTATCGCCAGCGTGTTCGAAACTATCGCGAAAAAAAACCTATGGGGGGCGGTACCCGCCCCCCCCCCCTCGGCCGGCGAGGGTTTACCTCAAGGTCACGTGATTTCAAGGTCATCATGCATATCATTCGATGCGCCTTGGCAAGCTGAACAGAATGAGACCATTTGTGCGGCTGTACCATTTTTATGTAAGGAGTTATTAGCAAAAAAACGTTTGGCAACCTTTGATGACGTCACATGCTCTTACAGTTGACCAATCGGAAGTAAGGCATCAAAGTAGTCAAAGTTGGTCATGAATCATGTCATTTATGGTACAATTGACCATGAAATCTCGGCCGTCCCAGCATAGTGGCCAAGTTGCCCCGCTAGTCCCGGCCAAATTACCCCATTTTGCCATTCTGAAAATGTATGTCTATAAAGTCATCACGGCTTTACCGAATTAGATAAAATTGCTCTTGGAACCGCTGAACACCCCCAAGAATGGCGCTATAATGTCTGAATTCGTTTTTAGCCCAAATACTACATGTTATACAACTTTGTAAACAGAAGTAAAAGTTACCATTTTCTAATGAAATTAACGTTTTATTAATTTTGAATAAAACTACGAGGAGCAAAGTTTTGACATTTGTCCTCCAGTTATTTCTACCCATGACAAATTAATAGAGACTAGAGTTATTTCACTCACTTTTATAAGACGTCGTACAGGTGGGGGCGGCCAATTTACACCACCGGCCAAATTACCCCACTCTCCCCTATTTTTACGAAAAGTGTTTTTCGACAATAACTTTCGACTAAAAAACGCCACGACATTTATATTTCCAGAGTCGTGTTCCTCTCGCCGAGACGCGTTGAATGAACTATAATTTGACCTTGAAAGGTCAACTTGAAAATTTGACCTCAGGTCAAGGTCATGACCTGACCGGAAAAGGTCATGTTGCATATCAGTCGATGCGTCTCAACAAGCCGAACACAATGAGGCCATCCCCAGCGTCCTATCTCTTTCCAAGCGAGAGTTATTGGCAAAAATCTGTTTGTAGCCTCAAATGACCTCGGATGACCTTTCTAGAGGCTATCAGCAAAAAAAGACACCTTGGTCGTCACGGGTGGTCCAAATCATTGTAATTCTTAAATATTTGGACTGTTCCTATGCGTACACACGGATCTAGAGGCATTTTCATTTTTCTCCATTGACTTATAAGGGTAAGGTCACGCCACTAGCCTGACCTTAGGCCACGGTTAAAAAAATCCGAGATATACAAATTATAGGCGCCCATAACATCATGCAATCCACCAAGTTTAAAACATCTATGACAAACACTGCAGGCTGGACATGATTACAAACTTTTTTAGGCTTGGTCAGTTAACTTGACCTGGTGACCTGACCTGACATGACCTGGGGTCAACAATTTCACACATTGTCCAAAATTGATGTACAGAAAGCTACTCCAAGCGGGCGCTGCGGTTTTTTATTCACGCACAAAAAAAAAAACGCGACAGGGTGGTAGCATATGACCCCCCCCCCCACACTGCAAGATGGGACCGCAGCCGGAATTAGCGCGACATTGGTGGATTTGCCGACCTTTCCCAAATTTAGTTGAACTGTGTCACATAGTTCAGAAACTAGGGTTACCCGCGTGCTCCGCAACGCGAAGAAGGGTTATTTTTGACCCGTGGGTATTGGGTTGGTCTGTGTCGATTTGGTTGGCATCCATTTCGTTCGATTGCTTTTCGACGGCCAAGCATTTTGTAATAAAACAAAAAAAATACATCGCATCGAGGTGCCCGTGTCGTATTATCATGCGTTCTACTTAAGAATGATTCGAAAACTGACGTGAAGTCTTTTGAGGGCCATCGCTGAATTTCGCTAAAAATGACAATGTAATGGTTTGGAACATTTACATTTTTAAGAATACTGTTGCTCATCATGCAAACATGAAGGGTGAATATTGGACAGAATTGAATGCTCTATCCATTGGTACCATATTCAATTGCCAAAGGTATCAGGTTATGCAGCAAACCCCGTGTGATTAATAAAGTGGCACAAAATTGACAAACACCATTTTCTCCTGTGATTTGCACCACCTTGATTTGGATCAATCAGCTTTTCACAATTTGTATATGAGAGGCGGTACCTTTCTCTTGCAAATAGGCGTTGATTCAACTCGCTCCATTTAACGGTCACCTAAAGATAAAATTAATTCCAAAATCCCTCAAAAACCGCAATTTTTCAAATAAAAGTGCCCTCTCCAGTGCACGTGGCGCGTGCTATCCTCTGCATTGCACACCATTCAATAGCCCGTTCAATTCTGTACACGATGCTGTTTTCCCCGTGCCGGTCGGACCCCTGGTCACCAAGATATTGCACGGGAACTGGACCCGTGTCGGCCAAAATCAGCCGTTTTCGCCCGATTTCGCACGACGATTTATACATGTAAAGTCTATGACGCGAAATTGCACTTTTTGAGCACGCGCCACGCGCTCCCTATCAATCCGATCGAGCTGAGACCCCTCAAAGGCACGTCGCGCATCCTTGATCTATAAGTTGTGCAAATTTCACCGGGCTAGGTGCAACGGTCTGGCCTGTAGTCCACGCAAAGCACCACCAAGTCGGGACCTCGGTAACGGACAGACGCACCCTCCTCAAATAGTAATATAGATGTCCATGGACCACGAATCTGCAAACATTTTTTGTCCATGGTGTACAGCGTCCACGCCACATCAGCCCAAACGCAAAGTTCCGTGACAAGCATCGTAGACCCGTTTTCGTACGGAGAAAAGAAGCAGCTAATGTTGGCAAGAAAAAATATATATTAGACGGCTTTATCAATATTTTTCGGGGTCTAGCCTGATAGTTTAGACCATGGGGATGGAAAGAAAAACTTTTAGCGGAATATATAAATACGCTTCAAATGTTAAGTTTTCTTAGATGCTTTTCAAATCGTAAGTTAATTTTGCTGTTATAAATATTCTGGAGTGTCGATATAAAAAGTCCCGCTGGGTCCCACTCTTCTTTTATCTTTATGGTATTTACCAATCAATTGCCTTTCAGAAAATGTATAGTTCAGCTGCCTCAGCCTGCCACAGCGAAAACAAGGGTTTTTTTTTACTTCAGGTCGCCGGCGCTGGCCGTGCGCGGTTACCGCGAGCCGGCCGGAAGCTGTGAGTAACAGAACCTCAGGAGTTGTACAAGGCTGCCAAGTGCCAACTATATCTAAGTTTTATCCGGACATATCCGTAACTGCTTTCGAAGTGTCTGTCTGATACAATTTTTTGACCCGTACTTAATTTGTTACATAGTCATGTAGGCCATCAGATTCCCATCATGGTTTTGGTGGCTACATTATTTGCTTATCGGAATTTCCCATGCCGTCATGACCTGACCGGACAGGTGTTGCTATCTTATCACGTGACCGAACCGAGTCGAGGTCAGCGCAGGTCAACGTATTATTTCACTAATTAACTTAATTAAATTACTGATGATTGATTAATTAAATTTATCAGAAATTGCTTCAAAAGTACACAGACTACCATTTGTATGATTCTATCATCACTTACATGTGAAAAGCGGGCACAAAACACGAAAAAGTACCGATGTCGCGCTAATTTCCGCTCCGGTCCCATTGTGCACTGGGGCGAAGGTTAATGCCCCTCCTACCCAGATTGCATCGATATTCATTGTTCACATCCTGGGATCAGTCATTTCTTTTGTTAAATAAGACGACTCATTGAAAACTAAATGGTCCTAATGTGAAAGCTTCGATCACTGATTTTAGCCCTCTGACTACATAGCCAGTCGTTCTAAGAGTTACGGTCTTGTGTAGGTAGGTACTAATGACGGTCTAAGCCACAGTGAGTGTAAATGAGCATATGCTGTTCATTGACCAAAATCATATTTTTTGGTGCTCTCTTTTACCGCTGCATGTCAAATAAAGGAACCAGTAAAACGCCTTTTGGGCGAAGAACGAGCGAGCGAGATGGTGAGCCCACGTGCGGAAGGGCGAGAGGGTACTTCCAACGGGCTTGTGCAAAGCACCCTTCTAACTGGTAGCTAGCGGTGTGCCAAATTTGAACGCAATCGGCCCAGCCGTTCCTGAGATCTGGAAGCGGCATTCTGCTCGTGCGCACCTGCAAACGGGGTCCAAACTGTCTTTTGCATGGCACCCTACTAGCCGGTCCCCAACCGTGTACCAACCGCGCAATCGGCCCAACCATTCTCGAGATCTGGAAGCGCCCCCTGCACGTGCGCACGTGCAGTAGCACCCCAACTGTGGCACATGCAAATGCATTGCCTAGTGGGTGCCTACCTACATACCAACTTTCAGCGCAATCGGCCCAGTAGTTACCGAGATATTGAAATGGGAACAAATTTGGCACCTTTTCTTATTGCATTTTGCACGTGCCGTGGGGGTCACTCACATAGATCAAGAGTATCCGACCTTTGGTAGAAGGGATGCAGCTACCCTACAAAAATTACCGCAAGACAATCGCCCAAGCGGCTGCTAAGATGAGCCTTTCAAAATCACTAATTTTGCAAAACAGCTTGGACACCCTTGACGTTTCATGTGGCACGTGCCACGACGGTCACTGAGATGTATCAAAAGCAGTCAATTACGGGGTAGAAGGGATGGCGCTACCCAGCAAAAAAGACCGCAGGCCAATCGGTCCAGCGGTTGCTGAGATATAAGCCTCTCAAAAGCGTTACAGGCCGGGCCGCTCATACTGAGATTTTTCCGTTATATTGAAGACTTCGCTGCGCTCGCTCGCTCTTAACAACTAAAGCAATGTTGCACGGTGTCCAACAGTCATCAATACCAGTGCAGCCGGGGGAGCGACAGTCGGGCGCCGCGCCGTACCTGATGAGCTGGGAGCGGTACTGGCCGGCCGGCAGGGCGGCCGCCCGGTGCGGACTGGTCGGCCACCGGCCAGCCGCCGGCCCGTGCCGGATTGGCCGGAAGTGGTGCTGCGCCGCGCCCGCACCCGACGCCACCGGCGACGCCGGGTTGGAGGCCACCAGCGGCGCCGGCGTGGTGGACCGCGAGTTCCCCAGCGAGACTGCAACGAACCCCGCTCAGCGGTCAGTTGGCCAGGGAGACGCGCTCGGCGGTCGGCACACCTGGCCGGCGGCGGCCAGCCCTCAGCGCAGAATGGACGATTCGGCCCGGCCGGCCTCCCCAAACCTTACACATATTTCTCCGAAAATTCGGGCATTGGGCGCTCCAACGATGCAACTCAAGGCACCACTCATCAAGCGATTTTATTATTCTGATTAACATTAATTTATGATCACCTGTGAAAAGCATCGATGATGTGTGCAGTGTCCATGTCAGCTAGATGGTAATACAGTATGGCCATCAGGGAGCGCGTGAAGAGGTGCGGGGGTACGTACCGAGCAGGTTGGCCGCCTCCTCCATCCTGGCGTCCGGCAATGACGAGTAGCTCGGCGAGGTGGTTGGCAGCGACTCGCCACTGCCGTCATCACCCCATTCCTCCTGCTTCACGCTGGGGGCACAGGTCGGCGTCAGATGACCTACCCAGTCGGCGACAGACAACACTTCGGCTTCGTGGCCACCGCTTGGGCCACCGCACAGACGCCCTCAAGCGGTTCACGTCAAAACAGCTAGCGACAGTTCAGCTAGTGACTTTTGAGCTAGTACAAAACAGCTAGTGCCTCAAAACAGCTAGTGACAAAATCGCTAGCGTCAAAATAGCTAGTGAAGCAAAATAGCTAGTGCTTCAAAACAGCTAGTGATAAATGTAAAGTATCCATGACAGTTGGATAACGACAACTCAAGAAACTCAAGATTACCAAACGATATTTATTTTAAAGTACTTTTAAATACACAAAGCTTTCGGTCACATACGACCTTGATCACTGTGTTTCACAATGTTTCACAATTATACAAACTTCGCAAAAATGATACAAAAACCCAGGGTACAAAAACCGACAAAAACCGTCTAAGATTATTAATGTGAAGCGCATGAAAATATCCTAGCCTACCGCCAGTTTTGCTGTCCAGGATGATAATGAAATGAACCCACTTCTCGAGTTGAATGTGTCCTGGGTGTTGATGTGAGCGGCTTCTAACGTTTTTCGTATCTTCTTTTTCGTATCTTAGAAAGAAATATAAAAAAGAAGATACGAAAAACGTTAGAAGCCGCTCACATCATCACCCAGGACACATTCAACTCGAGAGGTGGGTTCATTTCATTATCATCCTGGGCAGCAAAACTGGCGGTAGACTAGGAAATTTTCATGCGCTTTCATTAAGAATTTTAGACGCTTTTTGTATCATTTTTGCGAAGTTTGTATCAGACTTGTGCCTCGACCAAAAATCAAGATCCAAGATCCGCAAGATCCCACATAATTTCAGAATTTCAGGATCCAAGATCTCCAAGATCCCACACAAAATCAGATTGCAAAATCTAAGATCCCCAGGATCCCGCGCAAAATCAAAATTTCAGGGTCCAAGATCCACAAGATCCCGCGCAAGATCAGACTTCCAGGATCCAAGATCCCCAAGATCCCACGCAATATCAAAATTGTAGGATCCAAGATCCCCAAGATCCAACGCGCAATCATAATTTTAGGATGATTTATCTGTGATTTGCAACAGCAGACTGCAACTTACTCAGTTCTAGCCCTGGAGAAGCACTCAATGGACATGTATGTACATTGTACATTGTACATGCTAGTGATGTAAATCTCAGAAATGTTTTGTGTACCTACATGTTTGTGATGTACATTTAAGAAATTTTCGAAACCAATGCCAAACTGATACTGACCAAACTTTATATCTATCATTGATATATAACAAGCTCTGCTAACGCCACCATACGACGTCAACTGGCAAATAATCCAGTTAATAGTACGGCCCACAAAGTCTAAGTTGTGTTTATGCTGATATATACTTTGAAGCCTTGAGCACCTCAGTTATTAGAGTATGTCCTCCTACCAGTATAAAGTGAGTTCAACAGTTGTACATGCTAATGTTTTGCACATTGGCTTTCCTAGCTAGATATTCATCCTCAGGAGATTTGAATTTGCTGGCAATAGATAGCTTTAGTAGGCATTCAATCATGGTAGACTCATGTGTAAAATATTCCTGTTAAAAAACAAGATCGAAGATCGCCAGGATCCCTCGACAAATCCAAAACCAGGATCCAAGATCCCAAAGATCCCTCGACAAAATCAAAAAGCCAGGATCCGAGATCCCCAGGATTCCTCCACAAAATGATGACCAGAGTCCTGGATCCCCAAGATCCCTCGGCAAAACCTGAAGTGCTGGATCCAAGATCCCTCAAGATCTCGGATCTTGGATGTGGCAGATCCTGGATCTCGGATCTTTTTGGGATCTTGGCACAAGTCTGGTTTGTATAGTGTAATTGTGAAACATTGTGAAACACAGTGATCAAGGTCGTATGTGACCGAAAGCTTTGTGTATTTAAAAGTAATTTAAAAATAAATATCGTTTTGTGTATTGATTATCGTTGATGATGATGATGATCGTTTGGTAATCTTGAGTTTCTTGAGTTGTCGTTATCCAGCTAGTGATAAAATCGCTAGCGTCAAAATAGCTGGTGGATCAAAATAGCTAATGCCTACGAAGAGCGAGCAGCTAGTGTGATTTCTTTCTCGACAAGTCCTTTAAGAAGATGGTGACATGAACATCAGCATTGAGGTGCAGGCCATGGAGCCAAAACGCAACGACATTCCTTTAATGATTCAAAGGAAAAGAAAAAGGCTCGAAGGCTAGCACCAGAACCGGTTACTAGGGCAGCAATCCAAATGCCAGAAAATACTTTGATTTTCAGGTTAGGATCAGGTCATCACAGGTCACGGAAATCTTACATCATGTGTCGGTCACGTGACACATGTTTTATGGCCCATTTAGGCCATAGATTTCGAATAATTCGATGTTGTTTATGTCATTCGAGGTCATTTTGAGTTGAATTTAGCTTGGTCAGGCCACTTTCAGGTCAAAAAGGTCAAATCTTATAGTTGAAGTTTGGCAACAACAAAAAACTGTCCATCAAATGCAGTTTGAGCTCAGGAACACGATGGTGCTATTTATATTGGTGTACGAGGTCAAATACGTAATGAAAAATTGATTTGAAAAATTTATAATAGTGCAATTTTTGCTATAATGCTTAAAACTTGGCCATTTTTACAATATCTCGCTAAAACTTGCTAGAGTAGGTCAAAATCATTTGTTCTATCACAAATATTCCGGTTTTTCGAAGAGTCAAAACTCTTCACATTTCTGTCCATATCTATACTTCTAGACGCCACATCGATTTGAATCGAACACCATTCCAATGCAAATTGGCTGGTGCCGCAATTTTTTCCTACCACGCCTCAAAGCAAGTGGCGCAGCCGCTTGTCTAACTTACTATTCCAACAGAATCCGTCTGTCTGTGAGTGTGTGTGTGTGTGTGTCCGCCACGCCGTGTAGTGGGTACAATTGATTTTTAACTTACTATTCCAACAGAATCCGTCTGTCTGTGTGTGTGTGTGTGTGTGTGTCCGCCACGCCGTGTAGTGGGTTCAATTAACTTCGCCTACAGGGCAGACGGTATGCCGTAGGAGGTTGAAATTTGCATACCTTTTAGGTGACAGAGCGGGTTAGCGCCTTTTCTAGGTTCCGACTCGCTGGGGTGCACGGTTGGCACGTGGCGCGCGCCGGAAGAACGCCAATGAAATTTTGATCGGTTCGTAGATCTTCATTGGGAGCCGGGGTCGACAAACTTTGTCGACTAAATGCATGCCGATCGGTGGCGGGTGCCTCGCATTGGCGGATGGGCAAGTTTTTAATTTGAATAAAAAGTGGCGAGAGAATGTGTTGATTTTCTTTCAATGGGAGCAGTTTGTGATACAAGTATAAAAATGCACCACGTTTGCCGCAAGGCGTCACATTGGTCACAAGGCGCCTTTTTTTGCCGCAAATCGCACAGCTTTGTCGAATATGGTCCGATAATGGTACAATTTGGTGCCAGGATGCATGCTCAAACGACAGGTTCAGATGCGCCGCGTTTGTCGCAATGCGCCACATTTGTCACAATTTGTCATTTCCGACAAATACGATTAAGCGTAATGGAATGGCACGATTATCAGCAGGGCTAGGAGCACTTTTAATGTCTGATTTTTTAAAAAAATATTTATTGGATCCAATTATTATGTGACCTGACATGACCCAGCGGTATTGGAAGGGGTAGGGGTAGTGGTAGTGGTACGAGGTAGGGGTAAGGGTAGGGGTAGTGGTAGGGGTAGGGGTAGTGGTAGGAGTAGTAGGGGTAGGGGTAGGGGTAGTGGTAGGAGTAGTAGCAGGGGTAGGGGTAGGGGTAGTGGTAGGGGTAGTAGTAGTGGTAGGGGTAGTAGTAGGGGTAGTAGTAGGGGTAGTAGTAGGGGTAGTAGTAGGGGTAGTGGTAGGGGTAGTTGTAGGAGTAGTGGTAGGGGTAAGAGTATGGGTAGTAGTAGTGGTAGTGGTAGTGGTAGGGGTAGTGGTAGTGGTAGATGCAGTGGTAGGGGTAGGGGTAGGGGTAGGGGTAGTGTTAGGGGCAGTGGTAGGGGTAGGGGTAGGGGTAGTGGTGGAGGTAGTGGTAGGGGAAGGGGTAGTGGTGGAGGCAAAAGTTGAACAGTGGCCCGGGCTGATCCCATCGGACGAGAGGTGACCTTTGTGACCTGGCCTCACCCAAAGTGACCGGGGCTGACCCCTTTGACCCGTCTTGACCCCGTATCAGCCAAATTTCATCCAACAAAGGCCTCAGAACAGTCCTTTTTTAAATTCTCTTCACATTTCCGTCCATATCTATGCTTCTAGACGACACATCGATTTGAATCGAACACCATTCGAAAGCAAATTGGCTGGTGACGCAATTTTTTTCCTACCACGCAGCAAAGCAAGAGGCGCAGCCGCTTGTATAGACTATAGTTCGTCTTTTTAAGTTTGCCCCTCACTGTAAACGTCTTTTTGAACATAGCACGAGAATTGGTAGCTGAATTACTGAGAAAACTGGTTGGCGCACATTAATTTCACCAGAATTCACAGACGATCAATTTAATCAAATTTGTTTACTATTTCACAGACTCAAAGCTCGTATTTGCCCATACCTAGAGTTCCACAGTGATAGACGACTTCTCAGGAATTATGTCTGAACTAATTAATAAATTGCACGGCGTTTAAAGGTAGACTGCCACCTTTTTTCCACAAAACGGTTTTCACTAGAGCTGAGCCACCTATGTCCCAGACTGAAGTCGGTTTTCCGAAATTCGAACCCGTTTGCGAGAAATCGGAGACCAAAGTTCAGTTTGATGCCATTTTTTTAGTCCAAGAAAACCGACATCTCTACTATTTATCGATAACTTTGAAACATGAATTTTCTTATCTTTTGGTAAATATATGTCAAAACTTTGATTGTTTCGAGATCAGAGAAGAATTTTGGAGTGTCAAAATAAAAGTTAAACTTATATATTCAGTAGTTCATTTTTTCCAAAAAAGTGT